TAATTAATGCAAAGTGAGTAACGTCTGTGCAGCGCTTGCCTTAAGGCATCCAAGACAATTGTCTAAGTGTTTGCCAGCTGCATTTGAATAACAAAAAAATTTACATAGCAAGAATTGATACGCAGTAATAAATGGTAGATACACATTTACATGGCAAGAATAGGTTTGTATTAGTAGAGGACAGATATAAATGTATATGGCAGCGATTGGTATGCAATAGTAAATGGTAGATATGAATTTCATGTTAGGAATAGGTTTGCATTATTAAAGTGTGTTTTGCCGCTCTACGGTCATTTTGGGACACTGTAGGTCAAAGGGCACTTAGGACATAGGACATCAAAGGACACTTTGAGGATAATTAGACTGGAACCTACTGCTTAACGTGGATTCGAACCACTCACAAACATCTATACCACGGCCAGGAATCGAATCTGAAGCCTGTGATACCAATAGATATAAATTTATATGGTAGGAATTGGTATATATTTGTAGTTGGTATATATAAATCTCTGCATGGTTGATGATCTGCATAAATATGTTAATAATGCGTGTATCTCTGATGATGGCATAAAATTTAAGTTAAATTTCTCTGCGAGTAAACATATTTCTTTTATCTTTCGATTATATAAGCATATAATTTTCAAGTTAATCATACATTCATGATAAATGAAAAAAAATTGAAAACTTTTGTAAGTTTTTTTGTTTCATTTTCCTGTTCAAATATAAAAAAAAAAAGCGGTTGGAAAATAAGCGGTTGGAAAGAAGAAGCCCGTTACTTATAAAAGACAAAATGCTTTTGCTTTTTGCTTTTTTTTTTTTTTTTTTTTTTTTTTTTTTTTTTTTTTTTTTACAAAAATGCTTTTTAAAATTGAAATTGGTTAAATCAACATTTTTGTATCATTTTAATATCAAGAGATTGCAATCTTTTTCAAGTGATCGCATTCTTTTGAGTTCTTTTGCTTTGTAGTATATTTTGAAATGAATTTTGATTTTAAGTAGGCACAATTATTTTGGATTCAAAACGACATTAAATTGAAGTAAATTAAAAATATGAATAATTTATTTGCCCCCTTAACAATCATCCTTAAACTAGGAATTTGACCAACCCGCAGCCCGCCTTGAGTATTTTTCCGGCCCGTGAGATTTATCACACTTTTACAAAATATATTTATTTTATAATGGACAAAGTAGTGAAAAACCAATGTATTAAAAAATAAATTTTTTTGCATTTTTGGTATATACAAAAAAATGAACTGTCGAAAGTATGAGAAAAATTAACTCTGATTTTAACATAATATTCTTGCGAATGTGACATCTTGGAACCTGACCAAACACAAAACATGCTCAAACATAACGGACGCTCAACTGCAACACCCACTACGATGTTCAAATACTAGAATTGAGATTGGATTTGCAGAAAATGCTAAGTGAAAGTGTGGAGAAACAAATATCACATTAATAAAAGGCATATTTTTTAATGATTTCATTTTTTCATTTCTGTTTATATTTGTATATTTTTTATATTTCATTTTGAGTGTTATATATTTCTTTACAACGTGCGTTTAGTATCTTTATTATTATATTGTCTATGTTTACATGTACGAATAATAGTAAGTAATAATCATTATGTTTTTAATTTTCCATTCCAAAAAAAAAAAAAACGTCTATAGTGAGTCTAAATCTGATATGGGGATATATAATTGTGCGCTGCGGCCCGCGAGTTAGGATGCATTTCCAAAGTGGCCCGCAAGATCATTTGGGTGGACCACCCCTGGTTTAAATGATTTATTCTTCAAAGAGGAATAATTAAAGTTAAAAATCTCAGAAAACTTAAAATTTTTAAAGAAATAGACCTAAGAAGGATTGGTAAGAACAAAAGAAAATATAAAATACAATTATTTAAAGGTTTGTAAGAACAAAAGAAAGCAAGATCCTTTGGGTTGGCCACCCCTGTCTAAAATTTCAGGCAGGGCATTCCAAATACAATCTTGCTTGAATTGATTGAAAGAAGAAAAACCCTATTTTCCCAGACAAAAACTAAATTAGAATATATCCATTAGGAGATTGATAAAAGATTACTTACAGAAAAATATTTTTGACGTCTATATTGCAATATTAATGAATTTCAGTATTAAAAATACTCCTTTTATTTTGCTTTAAAAGCTTTAAATATACGTTAGCCCCTTTGCTTTGAAACCGGAGAACTTGAAACAAATATTTAAAAGTAAATAACAATGTATTTGTATTACTTTAATTTTTTTATAGAAAAGGAATAAAAAAAATTGTGTTTTCTCTTAATTTTGTAGAAATTTTGACAAGGTATGCTGCTTTTTAAAAAGCATTTCGAGCCTAATTTTTTTTCACAATAATATTTTAATTTCAGACTTTGTTTTAAAAGCTAGGAAGTAAAGTTCAAGGAAAAGTGAGAAAAAGAACTTCTAGAGGTCGTTAATATCATTACGTTATTTTTAATTTAAAAAAATTAGAAGTAAGAATTCTGAACTTTGAAAGGTAAAGGTTCGATTTTTTTAAAGAAAAAAAAATTAGTTGACAGTTAATTATGATTTCATTTTGGTATTATAATGGTACATTTTTATTGATGAAACATATGTTTGAGATTTGAGATTTTGAATAAAATTCTTACTATTTGCGATTTTTATCTAACGTCAATTAGAAATTTATTAAATTAAAAATTAAATTAAATTATTAATTATTATTTAATTCTTAAATAATTAAATTATTAATTATTATTTAATTAACTTATTAAATTGTTGATTATTATTTAATTTAAATAATTAAATTATTAATTGCTAATTTAATTATTTAAAATTTTAAAAATTATAAACATTTATTTCAAAATTAATTTAATTAAAAAATTAAAAAATGTTAATTAAATTTAAATTTTTAATTACTTATTTATTTAATTTAATTTTTTATTATTTTAAAAAATTTATTTAAAATTTGATTATTTAATTAGTTTATTATTTAATTTATATTATAAATATCAAAAATTTATTTATTTTTAAATTTAAAATTTTATTTTTTAATTTATTCCTGTATATTTATTTTTTGGTTTAAAAATTAATAGAATTTTAATTTAGTACCAGTAAAAAGATTATAAAAGATCACAGGTAGAAAAAAATTTGAAAATCATTGAAGAATTTTTGGAAAATAACTAATAAATTGTCCTCTTAAAATTCTGTACTTCACAAAGGTTTAGGAACGATGGTGAATAAAATTTAATTTTTCTTTTTTATTTTTTATTTTTAATTATGCTTGAATTTTGAATTTATATAAATAAAATTGAAAAAAAAAAATGCTTGTTAATGCTTTAATTTATTTTATATCACATTTAAATTGATAAAGAATTTTATGAATTATAAAAACTTTATACTCCTTTTAACAATTATAAAATTACTCAATTAATTCAAGGAATTTTATGTGCTACTTCCTTATTTTAAGCTCATTCAAATCTATTCATTATTAATTAGCCTTGATTTAGCTTGGTTTGGTTTGTCATTTTTTGTACACTTCAGGGCTAATTAGACCGCTACCTACAGTGTAAGGGGATTCGAACCACTCACAAACATCCATGCCACCGCAAAATTATTGACCTTGCCAGATCATTGTCAAGAGAATATTAAATGAAAATTTCTGTGTATAATATTCCTGTATATATATATATATATATATATATATATGATATAATCTCAGATATAATATTCATTCATATAAGACCTGAATAGCCGAGTAGCTAGAGCCGCTGGGCGCACAAGGTAATACAGGTTTCGGGTTCGAGTTCCGGCGGTGCCATGGATGTTTGTAGTGGTTCGGTCTAACATGTAGCCGTAGGTCCCGCATAACATGATCGTAGAGCGTGGCGGGGTATTACATTTCGCGTCTGTAGCTTTTCTTCAAGCTACAGCCCCCACCCCGGATAGTGCTAATTGAGTAACGTCGGTGCAGCGCTTGCCTTAAGGCATCCAAGACAAATTGACTAAGTGTTTGCCAGCTGTATTAGAACAGCAACAAGAAAAAAAAAAATTCGTGTATATGGATATATAGGATATAATCTCTGTATACATATATAAGGATATAATATTTCTTTGTACACTGAATATTTTCTATTTTCCAACATAGTTAATAATACATACAATTATTATTTTTTCTTTCGAGAACGAATGTTAAATTGTAAAGTAAATATTGGCAAAATATAATCTTCGCAGTAAGTGATTGTTTCCAATAAAAATCAATTAATTAATTGAGCAACAATTTATTACCAATATCCTTCATGTCCTTTGCAAATTACATTAATGTGTCACTGCTTTCAAATTCATTTATAACAAAGATATTATTATATATTGCCTTTATTACTTAACATATCTTACATGCATATTTCATTTGCATGAAGTAAGGGTAGAGGACATGCTACATTTGTGACACTCAGTGTAACGTAGTAGCCTCCACAGTTGTCAACATCTTTTATATATGCACGTTCTTCAAATTAATGACTATTTTGTAACAAATTATCTTAGATATATTCTATAAACGAAGACTATTTTCTTTTGATAATAAGCATCTACTTGAGAGTGTTTTTTGTAAATGTTGGATTCTAGTAATTGTATAATTTCTTTTTTTGTATTTAATCTTGATTGAGAAAGTGTTGTGTCATTGTCCACTTGTGCATTACCAGCGTGACATTATCCTCGTACTTGCACCTGTTTCTTTTACGATTTTCTTTTTTACTTTCGTTTCATCAATGCTTATTCCGTTTATGCATAGAATCCTTCCTTTTCAAGCCAAAGCAAACGAACTTGACATCAGCTGGACGTGTGCTTTTTTATAATTTTACGAGAGGTGAATAAAAAATTCAAGCATAAAATATAGGGTAAACTCTACTTCATTTACGAATCGTAGTCCTATATTTAAATAAATCTTTTTTTTTATATTTGATCCTCATTTCAGCATTAATTTATGTATCACCTATAATTATATATGTCAACGGTCATACCATGCTGGCGAATATGCCGATTTCTCGTTAGATCACCGAAGTCAAGCATCATTGGGCGTGGTCAGTACTTGGGTGACCCCCTGGGAACACCGCGTGCCGTTGGCATTCACATTTGGGACCCTCAATGGCAGAGTTTCTAGCGCTCTGGTGCCTTGGGTTTCGGGTTCGAGTCCCGGCGGTGCCAAGGATGTTTAGCCAGTGGTTTCAGATCCCTTTAAGCCGTAGGTACCGATCTCCTATGATTGTAAGCGTCACGGAGCCAAGTCAGGAGACTTCCACCACCTACGGGTGCTCCATCACAACAGAAGCTGCTTTCGCTTCCCCTACAATGATGAGTACGTGGGCTCTGGGCTTGGCCAACCAAGTGTGGGATAAGAAACAACAAACATTATTATATATATTTTTTAAAAAAATAATACTTAATATATTCGTTGTTTTAAAAATTAACTGATAATGGTGAGGTTGAGAATGGTTTAGATGATGAAAATGGATAGTTTATATATTTTTTATTAGTTAAAATAGTGTACTTATTAGAAATTTAAAAGGGAGGCATATGAATTTTTAATTAAATTTTAAAAGCATAAACACAATATTTCAAGCAGTATTTTTAAAAACAATAATCATGCATAACTACGCATAAATTTTTTTTCTCTTTTTAAGAAAACGTCTCTCATAAGAATAGCCACTCTAGTGGCTATTCTTATGAGAGGCAATTACATAATATCATTTTGAAATTACGAAACCATTTGAAATTCGGTTTAAAATTACCAATTAAATGTAACTCTCTTTTCATCAAATGATGAATAAAAAATGACCAATGGATGTGATCAATAGTCTTTAAAGACCATTGGTCACAATAACTCATATAAAAACCGTGATGTACGCATGATAAGCTGCGACGTACCCCGTAGATGTACAACAGAACGCACGGATCTACGAATCCAGTGGTGACCCCCCAATCAACTACTTTAAACCTTCTACGGATAATGGTAGGGTAATTTGATGCCTCCAATGTATGGAATAGCAATTTTAGAGCGGCTTGATGGCTAATCAGCCAGCTCTCTGGCCTTTGGTACCACAGGCTTCAGGGTCTAGTTCTGGCGTGGTATGGATGTTTGTTGGGGGTTCGAAATCCACGTTAAACTGTAGGTCCCGGTCTATTTAGCCCAAAGTGTGCACAAAATGACCGTAGAGCGACATCACAAACCAAACCCATATAAAGGCCCGACTCATGGCTCAAGGGCAACAAGAGCTGGTAAGCATTAGAGCGGAGGTTCCCTTCGCTGGCGGCTTTGTTGTAGATACCGTTTCAAAAATGAAGAGACTTCATGTCGTTTGTGATGCTCATCATCTTGCCTCGTTAGTCGGACTACTTGGTGGGTTTGGTTTGTCGCTCTACTGTCATCTTGTGCACACGAGGGCTAAACAGACCGGGGTCTACAGTTTAAAGTGGATTCCGTACCACTCACAAACATCCTGAAGCATTTCGAACCTGAAGTCTGTTGGTACCAATGGCCAGAGCGCTATAATTGGCCACCAGGCCGCGACTACTTGGGGAGTTTTACGAATTTTCTCCTATGTTATACGCAAATGTAGGGTAGTTCCTCTCTGAAGGCATTGTCCTCCTTCTTCAGCGTCGCAGAGCCGAGTCAGATTTCTACCTACGTGTGCTACCCTCCTTTCCCTCCTTCCATGAAGCCACACGGGTTCTTGAACTTGCTTTGGATGTTGCTATCTACCAAATGGGATAAGAAAAAAAAAAAATCATATAAAATTTTAAAAATTATGTAGCCATTTTTTAATGTAAAATTCTGTTAATCTTTATTTAAAAAAACCATTTTCCTCCAGTTATTTCAAAACGCAGCGGATGTTATTTTCGTAAACCTTTCAAAACATCTTATCAGAATCTGATGCAAGTAGGAGTTTCTGTTTGACGCGCGTTATCCAGATTTAGATGATTCGAACAAGTTCACGTTGTCACAATGAATTACTTACAAAGTTGCAGTTGTGATTGCAAAAGAAGTTGGATGAGAAAGTTCAGCGGTGTAAGTTTATTGACAGCGATTGCAGTCTAAAAGCGCATACACATCTTCAACCAGTTCTAAATCATTAGAAAATCGCTATTAACACACGTGTTGTGAAATTAGCGGAGAAACCACAATAAGATTACCATTTGTTGAAAAATTCCCTCGTCATACCTTTTTTTCTCTTTAATTATAAATTCAAAATATTTACAATTAAATTGTATGAATAAGAGCTATTTTTTTAAAAAAAAAATGTTACATAACATGAAATCAAGTAATTAATGCGTAGTTCATATACTATTATCTGAAAATGAAATGCTACACGAGTGAAAACCTTAACATTCTAACTAACTCTTACTGATAACATTCATAATTGATGGATATTTTATTAGGATTACAAGTAATTTTTCATCTTTATCAAACCAATAAATTATTACCGTTATAATACTCCATATTTTTTAAAATTTAATTTTTGATAGAAACTTCAATTTACCGTCTTGCACGGTTGTCGATTCAAACTGGCCTCACCATGTAGTGGGCAGGTTGTGCAGCTGGATGGTAATTGGGTGAGGTTGGGTTGAGATACAGGTTGGATATACAGGTTACAACAACACACACATAGAATATGTAAAACATTTAAAGTCATATATCTATAGATTTGTGGAAGGACTCCACTTCTAAACCGAAAACCGATACTCAGATTTACACGGAATGCGCGAAATATACTACCTCTCGGGGGATAATCTGCAGGCCAACTGATTATTTCTCCTGAACGTCACAGGGGGCGTTCTCACCAATGCGTAGGAGGAAGCATTGTTACGGTCTTCAAAAATCATTTTACCAAGATAATGCATCATGAATAGGATCTTTAAAGCCGAGTGTCTGACGCTTTGTGCCATAGGTTTCGGGTTCGAATCCGGCAAAGCCATGGATGTTTGGAGTGGTATGCGTAGGAGGAAGCCTGGTTACAGTCTTTAAAAAAATCATTTTACCAGACTAATGCATCATGAATGGGATCTAGTAGCCGAGTGTCTGACGCTTTGTGCCATAGGTTTCGAGTTCGAATCCCGGCAAAGCCATGGATGTTTTTAGAAGTACGGAATCCACTTTTAAACCATCATGAATGGGAGGTCCTTTGTGCCATAGGTTTCTAATATGACTGTTGGTACGGAATCATAAACCGCTGATACCCCTACCCAGTAAAATGGAAAACATCTTCTATTTCGGAATCTGCAGTAGGCAGACGGTCATGGTCCAACATCGACTGTATTGTCAGGGAGTCAGTTAGTTAGAGAAAAAGTTGTTAGAATGTTTTCAAATGGGTGGAGTTGGAGTGTAGACAATTAACAAAATGACTTGATTAAATGCTTTGAGATTTATACTCTTATAAGCTGCTTTATCTCAATATTATCCGTCCTTAAATAAAATAATACTATTATAAATAAAAAATAAGAAGAATAAAGATCCTGAGATAATCTGCAACAACTGCAATCTGAGATAATCAGTAAAATACCTCCTGTCTCGAAATCTGCCAGTAGGCAAACGGCCTTGGGACTGTTGCGTCAATGAAAAAGAAGAATACACCGTGAATAGACATTAATTCGGGAAAACAAGTTGGTTTTCCAAGGGGAGGGATCTTATTTCAAAATTCTACAAAAGCAAATTGAAAATTGAATGTTCTCTTTTAATCGAATTATTTTGTTCGAATAATTTCGAACAAAACAATTCGTATGGAATATTAAACAAGAAAAGCAATATGATAAATTTGTGAACCAGAAATTCGAATAGGATTGGAAAAGGTGCTAATCTACAGATTCCAACTTTGCTCTTTTAAATCGTGCTGAAACAATAGAGAGTTTTTGCATAACGTTTTTTTATCGTCCGATATTTCTTTCTTCCTAGCGCGTATGCTCATAGGAATAGCTCAGTAGTGCAGTATTATAGATATGCATGAGCAATAGGTACAATGTTTCCTATGAGCATGCACTAGGAAAAAAACAAGTAATATAAAAAAAATTAAGATAATTCCTACTTTTTTTTTCACTCTATTGCAGAAAGTCCTTTATAAATAATTTTAATTCATTTTTTTTAAGTTTATCTGGCGCCATCTATTGGTAGATATATGCAACTTACATCTAAAAATAACCTAAAATTAATTAATTAAATTTAATTACTGAATTAATATTTGAAAAACTATATTAACATCCAGTGCCATCCACTACAAGTTAAAAAAAAATGTATTTGAACTTCTGAGTGGATGAATAAAAGTATTTTATTAACATAATTTGTACAAGATATATATAGGGAGAGTGTGAGCTAATAGAAGGGGACTGAAAAAATACCATACGATAAAAACGTTATGCAAAAATCTCTAATATGCGGTAGGCACCGCTAACCTTATAACCCTTTTGCCGGATACATATATACCAAGTCAGTGACAAATAAATAAAATCAAGTGTCCGTTATTTGAAAACAATAACGTGAACGTCGTTTAATTTTGTAATTATTTAAAGACATTATGAAGATGACAAATAGTTTTACACTTTCTATATACCTTTTATTATTATTTCTTTTACTTAATAAATGCCCCATCTAGATTTATTTGTACATATTTTCAATGAAATATTAAAAATCTAATTGAATTGTAGGAAAATTTTATTAGACTCACGTAATCCTAAATACATAAATAGTTGTATTAATTACTTGTTGAAATAAAATTCAACTTTGATTATACAAAATTTAATGCTGAGTTGCTACAGAATTTGCCACACATTAATTATGTATGCTTCTGGTTCATTTTTGTGCATTATGTATGTATTAACAATAATTGAATATCTTCTCGTTTCAATTTACTACGTGTAGAAAGTATTACAATGTCACATTTTTGCAAATGATTAAATATTAGATGTTGCACTTTTATTGTATAAAAATAAAATAAAATGCATAAACTATAAATTTGAAAGAAAGCATATAAAGGATTTTATTTTTCTCTGACATGTTACAATAAATAAGGATATAGTTTTTACACATCCGGTATTTTTACCTGTCTTTCCAATTACATATTTTTTTTTCACTTA